GGAGCACCGAGGCTGCTGCTACCTTTAAAACAGCAGCTGGCCCTAGTGACAGACCCCAGGCCCTAGTGACACACCCCAGGCCCTAGTAACAGGCTCCAGGCCCAAGGGACAGACCCCTGGCGCTAGTGACAGACCCTAGGTCCTAGCCACAGGCTGCAGACCCAAGGGATAGGCCCTGGCTCTGGTGACTGACAGACCCCAGGTCCTAGTGAGAGACACTTGTTCCTAGTGACAGAGCCCTGGTCGGTCCTAGTGACTGCCCCTGGCCCTGCTTACTGATGCCACGTGGACACCCGGGTTTCCAGCCCCTGGACAGGTCTGTGATCAGAGGCCGGCTGCTGTTTCTCCAGCCTTGTCACTTCTGTTCTGTCAGCTTTTCTGTAAGTTTGGCTTCGGGCAGTCCAGCATCCAGTCTTAAGGCGTTTCCCAGGAGATTCATTCTGACAAGTTGGGCCCAGTTGATTTTCCGTGGGGCCTTTGGGGAACAGGGACAGCCCATGGGGTTGGGGGCAAGGTGGCCTGGGGTGTCTGGGGCGAAGCCCCGCCTGGGCGGCCGAGGTCATGGGCTGGCGACGCACCTGGGACGGCGTTTCCCGGCCAGCGAGGCGCTTTATTCCCCAGGACGAGTGGCGCCACCTCTGGGATCTGCCTCTGCCTGCCCCGTTCTGAGGTCTGTGGTACCACCTCTGCCCTTGTCTTCTGCCCTCTCCAAGCCTGTTTTGAAAATGCCAGTTGGACAACAACGTCGGCCCACACCACGTGGAGTGAGCCCATGGCGCCATCCTCCCTGACTCCCCTGGGAGGCCCACCGGAGTGGGGAGTGCGTGTGGGGTGGGCTCAGCCACCAAGCAGGTCCTGGCCGAGATTCCACGCCAGGCTCCGTGGGGTCTAGCCAGGGAAGGGGCATGTGCTGTGAGCAGGAACCTGGGTCAGGGCAGGGCTGGGCACGTCCCTCCTACCAGGGAGGCACCGGCCAGCGGGAGAGGGTGCAGGTGCACACCTGGATGCAAGCCACAGGCCTGGGGTGGGGCATCTGGGATGGTGGGCACAGGCCTAGGAGTGCAGGGCACAGCTGGGATGGTGGGCACAGGCCTGGGAGTGCAGGGTGACCCCCTTGAGGTGCTCTCCCGAGGCACATGTGGGATGGTGGGCACAGGCCTGGGAGTGCAGTCCCCTGGGGGCTCAGGGCACATACCTGGAGATGGTGGGTGCATGCCTGGGGGCTTGTCCTTTGATCCCTGGACCTGGAGATGGTGGGTGCATGCCTGGGAGCTTGTCCTTTGATCCCTGGGTGAGCAGTTTGTCTTCTTGGAGTCTCTTCTGCTACACGACCTTCTTTTCCCTCACGGTGACAGAGCAGAGCCTCCGGGGGAAACGGTGTGAGGGTCTGCACCCAGGGCTCAGGTGCGCTGCGTCCAGAAACTGTGGGAAAGTGGAGGACGCCTGGCCTCCGCCCATCCAAGAAGCAGCTGGCACAGCTGCATACTACACTTGGTGGTGAGCGCCAAGGGAGAGGTGCCCGCCCAGGCTCATTGTCCCTCTGACACCTCCACATTCTCTTAAAATTAAATGTATTCTATTACCGTCATTGTGGAAACAGCACATGGGTCTAATGAAGTGATCCAGACAGTGGACTCCCGTCTCCTCTGCTGCCGCTCGGGGTTGGCAGCCGCGTCCTTCTCCTCCAGACCCAGCAGCAGCCTGGCTGTCTTCGACAGCAGCACGTCGCGCCTGATTCATTCTGTCTATTTTAGTTTAAAAACTTTTTAAAAATAGTTTGTTAAGCTAATACCTGTTTGAGGTAAAACAAAACTACAAGAACATAGAACAGTGAAGCTCAGATGGGCTCTGAGGCGAGTCCCCATGTGAGATCCCTGAGCGTGCACCCCACGCAGAGCCGGCTGTGGAAGCATTTCTGGCAGCCGGAGTCTGAGGTCGGCACCGCTCCACCCCTTGGTGCAGAAAGGCTGGGGCTGAGTTGGGACGGATTCTACTTTTCCCTCCAAAACTGCCTGGGCCTGGTCCTCGGCCCTCCCAAGCGCCCATGGCCTCACTCCCGTGACGGCCGTGGGTTCCTGCATCTACTCCTTCTTCTCGGCTGTTGACGGCTGTCGACGGCTGTCGCCCTCGTCTTCCTGGAAAGCCCAGTCACCAAGCACCTCCGCAGGGGGTGTGGCCACGTCTCTGAGCTCACACCCACTGCAGGTGGCCTCCCTCCCCTCAGCCTGAGTGGGGACGGTGGACGAGGGTATCCAAGTCCCAGCCGGAAGCATTTTTCCTCAGAACGTTTGAAGCCAGTGTCTGTCTTCAGTAGATCTGGCGATGTCCTGACCCCTGTTCCTTTCTGCCCTCTCCCCCGCGGCCCCCAGAGTGCTCTCGTTCGTGCCATCTCATGCTGTTGCTGTGCTGAGGGGGGCTGAGCCCAGCAAAGGTGGTGCCTGCCCAGCAGGGGCGCAGGGGTACCTAGGCGCAGGGGCCGTGCGCTGGACCGTCCTCACGCACCGTGACTCCCGCCTGCCCGCATCTCTGCTCACGCGCGTCCTCTTCCGCCGGGTCTGAAATTGCCTGCTGGCCTCCTCTGACCTGCCTCAGTTTCTCCTCTTCACTCCTCGCTGCCTGATGTTTCATTACTTGTTTATTTATCACCTGCCCCAACTGAAGGCCTCACGAGGGCAGGACGCTTTATGTCCCGCTCAGCCTTCCAAGGCCAACCTCCAAGCTTATTAAAAACTCGTGCAAAGCACGCGCTGATGGGTGGGACGTCCTGCGTGAGCCCTGAAGGCGGCTCCGAGGGGCTTCCCTCATCCCTTTGCTCCCAGGTGGGTCCCACGGGTGCAGGTTCTCAGATGACTCACTGAGGTGTGTGAATAAGGGTCTTTGTTCAGGCGCGTCCCCACAGGAGATAAGACCACAGAACACGGCCCTGAGTTTGAAGCATCCCAGAAGGTTCTTTTCCTCTGACCTGCGCGCCCACCACTGTTCTGGGTGCTCACAAAACCCACCATTGCTTCTGGGAATTTCCCAACCGCTCCTCCTGCCCAGTGTCCTCTGCTGCAGAGGCCCAGTGGAAACAGGCCAGGCCTGTGAGAAGCTCCTGTTTCCGACAAAGAAATGGTGTCAGCGATAAAACGGGAGACTGTTCCTGGCTCGACACCTGACCCAGCCCTTCTACCCCCAGGATCCTGACCCTAGGTGGCCCCTTCGCCGGGTCCCCTGCCCCCACCATCAAACCCCGCCCCACGCGCCCAGGATCCTGCCCCCACCTTTGACCGCCCCACGGGATCCTGCCCCCACCGCGGCCCCGCCCACGGGATCCTGCCCCCACGCGGCCCGCCCCCGCTGAGATCCTGCTGGCCGCCCCATGGGATCCTGCCCCCACGCCCGGCCCCGCCCCGCCGGGATCCTGCCCCACCTTGGCCCGCCCCCCCGCCAGATCCTGCCCCAAGCCGCCCCACAGGATCCCACCTGCCCCCACCTGGCCCAGCCCCACAGGGATCCTGCCCCCACCTTCGGCCCCGCCCCGCCGGGTCCTGCCCCGGGCCCTGCCCCACAGGGATCCTGCCCCACAATTCCTGCCCGGACTGGGTCCTGCCCCTGTGTCCTCTGCTGTGTTGGCATCTGCAGTTTTGGGTACCTTCAGGAAGGGTGAATGGGGAGGGCCTGAGGCCCTTAAGGTCCTCAGTGCAAGCCTTTTTAAGTTTTTTTCCAGCTGTTTTGGGGAATCTGTGGGATCTCAGGGTCAGCAGGGGCCCACTCAGGACCCCCAGGCTGACAGAGCCACACTGGCCATGACTGGTGCTGAGAACTCCAGATCTGAGAGGAGAATCACCCCCAGGCTGACAGAGCCACACTTTGGCCATGACTGGTGCTGAGAACTCCAGATCTGAGAGGGCTCCGTGAGTCCCAGGGTTGGGACATGGACCTGTGTCCTCGGCACGGACCCTCCCACCAGCTCTTGTCTGTGGGCCGAGGCGATGTTCAGCTCTCAGTGCAGTGCTGACGGCCGACCTGGCGTCCGGGCCCCTTGGGGAAGCGGCGTTCGTGCAGAGCCCAGCACCTCACTCTGAGTCCTTCAGGGCCTGACTGGGTCTCACCATGCGTGGTGGGGAGGCGGCCTCGGCAGTCCCGCCCTGTGGCATAGCCCTGCGTCCGCAAACCCTCCCTGGGCGGCACCCCTCAGTCTTCTCAACCCCAGGGCCCAGCCGCCTGCTCTGGGGGTGGGCGCCTTGCAAAGTCCAGAGGGCGTCCCTGTGCCCCGATGCCCGTGACCCCACCACTGCCTCAACCCTGCACACCCGCAGTCCCCTCCCCTGGCTGGGGCACCGTGGGCTCGGCAGGCCCAGGGCACCTGGGCAGAGCATCCTCAGGTGCCCCCAGGGCCAACACGCACCGCCCCCGCCCCCCAGCCCAAAGCTCCATCTACGGTCAGAGGCTCTGCACTGGGGTGGGAGCCACTGTCGCAGGACCGCTGTGGACCCTCCCAGAGGAAGGCATCCGGTCACGGACCCTGGGGAGGGTGTGGTCCTCAGGTGTCCCCCAGAGCTGCAGAGCGGGCGTCCACAGGAGGGGCAGTGGAAAGTGTGGCGGTGGGGAGGACCCGGGATGGGCTGTGACGCTGCCAGTCACACCCTGAGCCTGCTCGGCCTGGAGCCCCTGGCACCCAGCTCAGCTCCCACCCTGGGCTGTGTGTGCTGCTGGCTTTATCTGACTTAGGGGGTCCTTGGCCCAATGACGGCAAGTGGGCAAGGCCTTGCTTGGCTCCACTCTGCCTGGCAGCTGGACACGCGTGCCTCCAGGGCAGCTGGCTCCGAGGGTCTGAGGGGCCTCACGCCCAGCCCCGGGAGGGCCTGCCCATCTCAGCCCTCGCCACGTCGCCCCGGGAGGGCCTGCCCGTCTCAGCCACGTCCTGGTGCTCGTTGGTATGGCGGGTCTCCTGGGCTGCACCCAGGTCAGCTGAGACATGGCCCAGGTGACACCTTTCTCCTCTCCTTCCTCCACAGCAACATGGCTGACAAGGCAAAGCCCGCCAAAGCTGCCAACAGGACGCCCCCCAAGTCCCCGGGGGACCCCTCGAAGGACCGGGCGGCCAAGAGGCTGTCTCTGGAGTCAGAGGGTGCCGGTGAGGGGGCAGCTGCGGCCCCCGAGCTCAGTGCCCTGGAGGAGGCCTTCCGGCGCTTTGCGGTGCACGGGGACACCAGGGCCACCGGGAGGGAGATGCACGGCAAGAACTGGTCGAAGCTGTGCAAGGACTGCCAGGTGATCGACGGTAGGAACGTGACGGTCACCGATGTGGACATCGTCTTCAGCAAGATCAAGTGAGTGCGCCAGGCTCACGGGCTGAGGGACCTGGCTCATGGGGGGTCTGTGACCCTGAGCCCCCGGGTGGGTTCTGTGGGGAGTGGGCCATGGGGAGTCAAGGGGGTTGTGCTTCAAGACCCCGCCCTTCTCAGAAGCAGCCCAGATGTGGGAGTCTGAATGTGCCATCTGGGCCTCCGGGAAGCAGGGGTCCGGGCATTCCAGGACCTCTCGGTTCCGAGTCCTGAGCGGCAGCCCTGGCTCCTCCTGGCCCCATGGTCGTGCGGGGTCTTGGCATGGGAGGTGGCCTATGAGGGGGTGTCTGGCCTCAGAGCAGACTCAGGATGAATGTTGCTCTCCAGAGTCAGGGAGCTGTGGCTGGGATCACTGGGCCTCCCCAGGAGTGGGGGCAGTGCCTGCCTGCAGCCTGGAGAGGCAGTTGGCTGCTGGCAGGCAGAGTTCCTGACCCTCCATGGGTTGACTCAGGGGCTGAGTCTCAGAGGTTGGATGCTTGTGTCCCCATGCATGGAGCTGGCCATTCACGTGTCCCCCAGCCCCTCCCAAAGCCTTTGTGCTGCTCCACTTCTGCCCCGGGATTCCCACAGGTGCCGAAACAGCAAAGGGCACCAAGGATGCGGCTCCGGCCATCACTGCAAAACCGCATCACGCCGTTTGCTTTGTCTGCGTCGTGTGTGCCCGTGCATTACTGCATCGTGTGTGAACGTGTGCGTGTGTTTCTGCATCGTGTGTGCACGTGTGTGCATGTTTCTGCATCGTGTGTGCACATATGCACATGCATTTCTGTGTCATGTGTGCACACGCCTGTTGCTGTGTCACACGTTGCCTGTTTTCTCCTGGATGATTGCCGGGAAGCACACTGAGGCACCCTCACCCACCCTGGCACATTTCACCTCATGTCCCGACACCCCACCATGATCGCACCTGAGAAAAGCAGTGGTTCTCCCCCAGCCCCATGTCCAGCCCTGTCCTGTCCACCTGTGTAGAAATGGCTTTATTTTGGCGGTTTGCGCCCGCGTCCACTTGCGGCCAGATTCCTACGTTGCCACAACCTCATTACTCTTTCATCTCAGAGCTCCTGCTGCCTTCTCCCTCGGTGGCCTTGGCTTTGCAAGGGGCTGGGCCGTGGGTCAGATGCCCCCATGCTGAAGGCTTTGGGGCCCACCTCTGCGGTGTCAACACCTGTCTACCAGCTCTGGGTGGGCACCGTGGCCTTTGCAGCTGTGCTGTCTCTGCTGTGGTCTGTGGCGATGTCACATGTGTCTCCCGGGTCATGCGTGTCCCCTGGGTCTTGGGTGTCTCCTGGGTCGTGCGTGTTCCCGGACTGTGCATGTCCTGGTGAGCTTCCTGTTGTGTACGGCACATCTGAGTGCATCTGAGGGCATTTTGAGTTTAGAAAGTTATGCCAGAAAAGCCATGAAACCGCTCAAAAGGATGCCTGAACCCGGACCTTCTCTTCAGCTGACTGCCTTGCAGGCTCCCCCAGCTCTAGGGGATGGCAGGGGCAACCAGGGCCAGCAAGTCCTGTTCGTCGTCCTGACAGCTCGCAGCCTCAGTCCTAGAGAAACTGGAGGGGAAGGTCCATCCGGGGACCCGGGTGCAAGCTGGTCTCACCCTTGACCCTGTCCAGACCCAGTGGCCCCTGCCAACCTCCTTTGTGGCTTCCCAGCCTCAGCGTCCTCATGGGCTTAGCCATCGGCCGGTGTGAGAGGAGGCTGTGGCTGGCCCCTCTGGGCAGGTAGTCACGTAGCCTTGCGCTCCCCAGCCTTGGACAGGGCCATCATTTGCCAACACCTTGGTGGTTGGAGCCCATACTAACCCAGGATCACTCATCCCTGGGGCCTCTGGAGACCAGGAAGGCACAAAGAGCCTGCCAGGGCAAGGGGACCAGCAGGGCCTCGACAAGGGCTGGGGTTTGGGCTGCGAGGGTCCGTCTGACAGCCTGCACCCCCCACACTGCACCCCTGGCCACACTACACCCGCCTGTGCTGAACCCCTGACCATACTGCACCCCCGGCCACACTGCGCCCCAGCCACACTGTGCCCTCTGTGCTACACCCCCGGCCATACTGCACCCCTGGCCACACTGCACCCCACACGCTGCACCCCCGGCCACAGATCCTTCATGGACTGACTCTTGGGGCTGCACCTCCAGTGGGACTGTGGCTGAGGCAACTGGCACCTGACTCAGAGGTCCAGACCCCACTTGTGGGCTCTTTGGCGAGAGGCAGCTCCCACAGGCTTGCTGGGGCTCCCATATCACCCACAGGGCTTGTCGTGCCAGCTGCTGCCTGGAAGACAAACCAGCCTGCCATCCCCTGCTGGAAACCTGCAGCCTCCTGCAGCAGCGGGCTATGCAGTGTAGGCTTGTGTAGACACCCCCAGCCAGCTGCTGGCAGGTCCTGGTGACCAGGGCCGCTCTGGTGGGTCAACAGCCATGGGCAGGCGGCACTGACCTGCGCTGTGCCCACGAGGCCGGGGGCCAGAGCCTCTGGCACAGACAGTGCCCTTGTCCTGAGCCCAGAACTCACTTTGCCAAGGGACGTGTCCCAGGCACACGGACCAGGAGAGGGAAACTGGGTTGGCTATATTTAGCCCATACAGCGGCAGGTGGGGTTCGCAGAGCGGCCACGGTGTCTGGAGCCTGTGTGGACATTGGCAGGGCTGGCTCCTCCCCTTGGCCGCCAGGGCCCATGTGTCCCCCAGTGCTCCTCCTCCCCTTCAGGTGTCCTTGTTTGGAGGGGACCCAGCCCCTTCGTGGATCCCAGCCCCGTGCTCCTGGGCCCTGGCAGCTGCTCCTCAGCAGGCCTGGGCATGTGGGCGCGTCTGGGACGAGTCCCTGGGTGCCCTCTGTGCCGCCCAATGTGTGCTCCAGGATACACAGGAGCAGACCCAGGGCAAAGCAGTGTGGAGACGGTGCTTGTGGGTGAAGGTCCTAGAAGGGCTGGGCGGGAGGTGGGAAGAGCCTGTCCAGGGGCCATCAGCCCTGCAGGGCCAGCCCCATGCGCACAGCCTTGGCGCACAGCCTTGGCGCTGCCCGGACACACCAAGTATGGTGCCAGGTATGATTCCTTCTGCAGAAAGTGGCCTTCAAACTATGGCGCATGTGTGCGTGCACATGGCCACACGTGCACACACACGCCTGCACACACCTGCACACACATGCAGAACTCTCCCTGTGGTGGCTGGGGCTTGGTGGCTGTGGCTCATTTGGAGAATGATGGGAGCCCTGCCTGCTCGTGGGGGTGCTGGCACCCCAGAAGGCCGGAGGAGCCCCAGCTGGTCTGGGCCTGTTCCCAGAGCCAGGGCTTGAGCTGCTCAGGCACTTGGGGGCTAAAGCTTGGCCCCCTGCTCCAGCACGGCCACCTCCCCAGTGCAGAGCCTGGGACTAGCCTTGGGGTGTGCCAGCCTTGGCTGGCCATGAGGGTTAAGGTCTGGGGGAGCAGACAGCTGTGGCCCAAGCCCAGGGAGGGGTTGAGGCTAAGACCCAGTCCTGGGCAGCCTGGTCGGCTGGCTGGGCACTGTGGGTGGGCGCCATGTGGCAGATTGTCCTGTGGGCAGCAGCTCAGGTGGCCAGGACCGGGACCCTGGCCTGAGGGGAGGCTGAGGGATTCTGACCTCCCCGCCTCCCAATTCACCTGCAGCCGCAGACCCTTGTGACCCCGGGCTTCCCCCAGGACTGCCTCCACATCTCTCCCACCCTCAAACTGTCCTTCCCTCCTGCAGCCTGGACTCCCCTTGAGGGGGGTCCCTGTGATCCTGGCATGGGGTCCTGACCTCCCAGGTGTGCAGGAGCAAGGGGCCTAAACTCACACACTTGTCTCAGGAAGACAGAGGGGGGCAGGGCCACCAGGAGGGGCTGGCGACACTAGAGATTTTCCTTTAATCTCCAGGAAAAGCAAGGGGTGGTGGGCAGCAGGCCTGAGCGGTATTGGCTTGCTTTTGTTTTGCATTTTGGAGAGGGGGATGCCCACTGTCACTTGTGGGAGCCTCTGCCTCCCTCAGGAGCCTGGGGACCTCGAGGAAGTGGCCTTAGGTACCGCAGAAAGCTGCTGACTCTGACAGGACTTGCAGAGAAAAAGTCCACCGATTTCTGTTTTCGGGGCAGGTTGCCATGGCTCCACCGGCGTGGCGCCAGCTCGGGGTATCTGCAAGCCTTTGTTTAGTCCTCGTTGCCATGGCAGCGCTTGTTTGTTTTGATGTTACTATGTGTTAAATCTTAAACAAATTTCTTGCAGCCGTATGCCAGGTTTTTGTTGAAGACTACCGTTAACCCAGACAATGACTCCCTCCTGCAAAGAGCACGCACTGGCAGCTTCAAAATATTAATTAATGGAGGCATGAGGTGCACAAGCGGGATCGGACCACAAGCGGTGGGAGTGGGGCCCAGTAGGGCCATGGACAGTGAATATTCTGGCACCTCCTCGAGCCTGGGGAGGGGCCCATGCCATGGGTGCCTCGGGACCCCTGGGGTCAGGCTCAGCTGCTGCCTCCCCACCTGCACCAAACACCACCAGCCTCTGGGCAAGGGTCTGCCAGCCTTGCTCACTGGGCCCCCTGTGGGTCCAGCTAGCCTGGGTGGGGGCACCCTGCTGATGAGGCAGAGGAAGGAGGGCTGGGATGGGGTCTCAGCTCGCTGGGAGCCCCAGCCTCCCCAGGGCCCACGCTTGTGTGCTGGGTGTGGTGTGTTTTCCCAAGTAAATGCACTGACATTTCCTGCAGACACCTAGGCGGAGACTGGGTGGTGGCTTGGCTTGGGGGTTAGACTGATACCTGGACGCAGGTTAGGAGGAAACCAGGGCCAGTGGGGGCCTGAGAACAGCAGGGCCAGGCTCCCTGGGGTCTGTGGTCACCCCGAATGGAGAGGACTGCTGAGCCTGGTACACCCCCCAGGCCAGCCAGCACTGGGGTCTGTGGTCACCCTGAGCATGGAGAGCTGGCAGGACACTTTGTCCTAAAGTCTGCAGGCTGTTCCCAGTACGGAAGCCGATCCAACCACCTC